AGAGAGAGAGAGAGAGCTCAGTATTACTCTACTTGGTTTCCTTGTATTGAATAATTTGATGTGAAATTTGATGTGGTGGTGAAATAATATGCAGCATATGGCGTATTAATATGCAAAGATAGGGGCACGTCTGGTTCTGGTAGCGAGGAGGGAGCGACGTCTTCGAGAAGTTGCAAAGAGAGCACGCAGCAACGGCTCACCCAAAGTGCTCGTCCTCCCTGCCGACGTACCAACACTCGATGAGTGCAAGAGATTCATTGAAGAAACAATAAACCATTTCAGTCGTTGTAAGTACTATGATTTTGTCGTGGATCATTTGCTATTGAGAGAAAGAGAGAGAGAGATCGGCCTAATTGAGTTTATATTTCGTAGTGGATCATTTGGTTAACAATGCCAGAGTGGCAATTGTCGACGTGTTTGAAGAAGTGACAAGCATAACAAATCTTCAAGAAGTTATGGGAATTAGATCATTTGATCTTTCTGTTTATTGAAAGTTGTGGTAATCAGCATCATCTTTCTCTAATATTGAAATTTCCCTGGTATTTTTTTATGACTTCCTGTGCTTTATCAACAGAACGTAAACTTTTGGGGTGCCATATATCCAACTTATTATGCAATCCCCCACCTTAGAAAAGTCCGATGAAAGACTGTGTGGTAGATGCTGCTGCTGCAGCAGGGTTTCCACTGCCAAGAATGAGTGTATATAATGTAAGTGAAAATGAGAGAGAATGAGTCTGTATAATGTATGTGAAATGAATGAGAGAGAGAGAGAGAGATGTTCAATCTCCAACCTGCTAAGAGAGAGAGAGAGAGCTGTTCATTCCGCACCCTGTTAAGAATCCTTGTTAAGATCCATGAGAGAGACCAATTCATTCTCCACCAGGTTATAACCCTGATCGAGAGACCTATTCACTCTCCGCCCTGTTATGTTAAAGGCCACAGAGAGAGAGACAGGGTCCAGCTTTTCTCTATTTTTCAATTACTACTGCAATACGCATCATGGTTTTCAGGCTAGTAAAGTAGCTGTAGTTAATTTTTATGAGACAATGAGGATGGAAATCGGGGACGAGATTGGGATTACAATCGCAACACCTGGTTGGACTGAATCAGAGATCAGCAAAGGCAATTCATGAACAGCAAAGGCATGCAGGCGGACCAAAAGACAATATATGTGAGAAAAACTACACCTAACTCACTTAACTGCTAGAGGGCCTCAAATTATCTTTTCAGTCTAATGCTCACTAAGCTTTAGTATGAAAAATTTGCTCTCTACTTCAATATTTCTCCGCAAGCTCTGCTCTAAAAGATTTCCTCTTTCTGATTCTAGAATTATTGCTAAGCATCAATGGAATCCTAACGATTTTGTTCGAGCTGGTGAAGGCTTTGGTTAGGGTCATGCCAGTTATGCACGTAGATGAATGTCCAGAAGGAATTGTGAAGAGTGCATGTCGAGGAGAGAAAAACATAACAGAGCCATTATAGGTCAGGATTTCGTTCCTCTACAGGCAGGCTTCTGGTCCCTGAGATGGTGGATTGGTCCTTTGCCCTGCTTTCTCTCACTAAACAAGGGAGAGGGAGGCAACTCCCAAGCAAGAGACTTGCAGATGATGCCAAATCAAAATAATCACAGAATGGAAAGGAGGAAAGGTGAAATCTGGGCTTGGCACACGGGGCACTGAGTAACAAAAGTTTGCTGTTGAGCCGCCTCCTATGCGACTGTTTTAATAATTTTAGCTATTATTCTATCACATATTTGCATGACTAGAGCAAGAATAAATCTCTCTCTCTCTCTCTCTCTCTCTCTCTCTCTCTCTCTTTTTTGACAAGAATAAGTTTCTCACGAAAACCAGTCAATCCAGCCCTATTTTGAAATACTGCATAATATATGCAGGTTGCTAATATGTAGATAAAGATAACCATGGTATTAAACATCCAGGCAAGCACAAATTCACTAGATGTATGCATATGAAGCACTCATGAGCTGCCTAAATATGCATGTAGATTAGCTTAGGCTGTTGCGGAAGTTAATGCATCCATGACACTTATTTACATTGACGTTCATGTTCATGCACATGCATCCAAGCTTACGCATGCTCCCACATAAATTATGCTCATGAAAAACTAGAACACTATGTGGATGAAAAGAGAGCAACCTGCAGTTCTGTCTTGAAGATAATAGAACCAGAGAAGCATCATACATAATTATGTACAATGCCTGTATGACGAATCCTAATCATCATGCAGAGCGCAGCCCATCTGACCATTCATTCAGCTACTTGTAGAAGGCCCAAAGGACATACATATAGGAGGATTAATCTTGAAAATTGAAAGCACGGCTGAAGGAATGGACCAAATGCCGTCTCCACATATCAAACCTGATGCAACTGCCCCTGCATATGCCTCTGCCTCCTCCTCATTGATCCTCTCCCAAACATATAAAATCACCGTCCCCACAAACATATCGATTGCAAAATACGCCCCAATATAAAAGGGTATACCCATTACCATTGGAATTGGGATATAATTAGCCACTCCTTTAGGCAACACATCCCTCAAGAGGTTAATGACCAAAGCTGCAGCAAAGAATCCACAGCACATCTCCAAGCAATACTTGGGCAAAGAAGAGAAGCCCTCAACACCCAATATAGCCATCTCCCTAAATATAACCGCATATGGAGCCTTGTATGGACCATCAGGAGAGCCTATATCAAAGGCATTCCAAAACATCCAAAAGGAGAGAGGGGCCAAGACACAACCCATAGCGGTTCCAATCAATTGGCTAACAAACATAGACCGAGGAGACGAATATGTGAGATAACCAGTCTTGAAGTCTTGCATAAGGTCAGCAGCTGTGGAAACAATAGACATCATGACCCCACATGCAGCTAAGCCGGCAAGGACCCCACCATTTGGGCCTACCCAAGAGGCAAATATGAATAGACCAAGATTTCCATAAGTGGAGGCAAGGTTCCAGTCAGTCAGGCCACATCCATAAGAGTTGCAAAAGGCAAAGCATGGGGCAGCAATATAACAGAAGAGGACCAGATACCATTTGAGAGGGGGGAATATGCGGGGAATAGCGGCCATGGATATTGCAGCAAGGCCTATGTATCCTGAGGCAGCAATCCATGAGGGTATTTTGTCCCTGAGGAATGTTTCATCCCTTCTTCTCTCCTCGAGAATTACTTTTGAAACTTCACTGTCTGTTAAAATTGCGAAAGTCATGTTATAAACTTGACAATTTGAGATCTCTTTTATGACAAACCATAAAACCAATATTTGAAGAAAAATTAGGTACTTGATTTGTATTGGTGCCTATGATCTGAATGGAGAGCAATGGGTACAGTATTATGGGATGTAAATAGAGTCCAAAAAAAGGCAGTGGAAACTCATTAAAAAAAGGGAAATTTATCAAAGTACTTATAAGAGATTGGTTATTTGACAATTCTATTCCAACTTGAAATAAAGGGTTCTTTTATGGGTATTTTGAAATAAAACCAAAAGATGTTAGTAAGATGTTAAATAGTTCATCTCTTATGGGCATTGTGATAAATTTTCCTTAAAAAAATGGTTTAAAGGAACTGATTTTACTGAAATTAGGAAACTCATTTCTTACACACAAAAAATCAACCTGCATATGGGATGTAAATAGAGTCCACAAAAAGGCAGTGGAAACTCATTAAAAAAAGGGAAATTTATCAAAGTACTTATAAGAGATTGGTTATTTGACAATTCTATTCCAACTTGAAATAAAGGGTTCTTTTATAGGTATTTTGAAATAAAACCAAAAGATGTTAGTAAGATGTTAAATAGTTCATCTCTTATGGGCATTGTGATAAATTTTCCTTAAAAAAATGGTTTAAAGGAACTGACTTTACTGAAATTAGGAAACTCATTTCTTACACACAAAAAATGAACCTGCATATGCATCAGTACTTTTTCTCAAGTTGCTAGCAATGAAAATTTGTGGAAATAAGTGGAATATTTTCAGTACGGTCACCTCGAAAATTGTTGATCAGTGGAATCTTGCTCTGCTTTGAGCGTTGAGCACATAATTCCCTGACTGTTACAACTACAATCTTGATCAAGTTGTAAAGCCCATCTCCAACGATAAGAGCGATTGCTATAAAGACCTGCAAATAGTATTAAGGATGAGTAGCACTTCGTCTATTCAGTAACAAATGGTATTATGGAAAACATACTCTTTTTCACAAGTCTAGACAGCATGGGGAAGTGTAATGATGGGCTTCACCATGAAACTAGTCCAGATGGTTCCATGTTCACTAATATTCAATAAGCTGCATTGGACCATAATAAAATTATTTCATTGGTGATATGACTAAATTTCTATTCCTCTATGTTTCATGGCTACATGTTTCAGCCGTTGCCTTGTTATATATTTGTCTTCCATAACAGACCTTGAGATTCCTCTAATCTGGTAGGTTATGGTCATATTCTTTTGCACTAGATATTTTTTTAGGTGAGACAGGGCTACCAATTTCAAGATCATTTAATAAACAAACTCCCCTTGTTTACCTATTAAAAATAAATATATAAATAAATAAACTCCCCTTCTTCTAGAAACCCAACTCTTCTTAGATAATGCATCCTAGTTTTCTCCTTTAAGCCTTTCTTTTGTTAAAATGAAAAATTAGTCATCAAGAATCCTGGAAATTGCACTTGACTTAATGCCAGTAAAGTAGACCCACTTGTTTACAGCATACCTTATATCCAAAGAGACCTTGAAAGTCATTGTTACCAAGATTTGCTGGATACCAATCACCAGCACGTTGTGAAATAAATGGCCATAAAAAACCCCATGATACAATTGCCCCGAACAGCACTGAACAATTGACTATATGTGGGCAGATAAGACCACACCCGATATACGTTGGGCTGAAGTCAAAATAAAATCTGCATGGACGAAAGAGACCACAACATATATCCAAACATGTGGCCAATTTGAGAGGTTTCTTTGATGCTTAAGCTAGAAAAAACAGCAAAAGAAAAAATATCCCCAGCTTCTCTTGGGGACAAACACTATAATCCAATAAACTAGGTAAGAACAAAGTCCAATGGGGTCATGAACAACCCATTGAAGGATGGATGGAAATGGAGAGAGAGTGAGAGTTACCAGGATAAGATGTGACCCCAAAGGTCCATCACCGCCCAGTGATGATCCCATTGCAGAATGTAATACCATAGTCCATTGGATTACCATTATAATATGAGATTCTCACATTCTTACGTGTTTTTTAATGCTTCCAGCCCAAGACTGGGAAAGTTATCAAAGCCACATGAGTCTCCAATACCACTGAAGAACCACTTAAAAAAACTCCAGAACAAGCTAATGCTTAAATATTTGCCAAGGGAGCGAACTTGATTCCTGCAACTCAAGGAGGAGAAAACTTCACATAGAATTCATTAAGTGAAATACAACATCAAGCCATTTCTAGACGATAACTAGAGAAGTGAACAAAGAAACTTAAAACCATGAAGAATACCACATGTCACTAAAATAAATTCAGTGCCCAATATGTCACTAAAATAAATTCAGTTCCTAAGTTGATATTATTCTAGTCCAGATATCAAGCCTTTACATTACAATAACAATGATCCCAACAAATTACGGGAAGAAATCCTTTCCTCAAAGACTTCAAGGATCATACTCAATATTACAACAGTTCATGCTATCAAATCAATGACAAGACCATCACATGCATTACATAGTTCTTTTTTATCAACCATAAATATTGTTGTCCTTGGCCTACCAAGACTAAATTGGTGGAGCTCAGTCACCGACAAGGTCGATAGTAGGTTGGCTGGGTGGAAAGGGAGATTCCTCTCTCCAGCTGGTAGATTGACCCTCATATAGGCTACTTTAGCCAGTATTCCTCTTTTTGTCATGTCCCTCTTCCATATGCCTACACCAGTTCAAGCCAGATTGGAGAAGCTCATGAGAAATTTCTTATGGTCGAGTGAGGGAGGCCATAAATTTCATCTTATTTCTTGGGCCTGGGTTTGCACCCTCAAGGCTCAATGACGTCTTGGTATCAGAAATCTCATATCCACAAATCTAGCTCTTCTTGGAAAATGGTGGTGGCGTCTTCCACTCAGCCAAATCATCTTTGGAGAGGAGTTGTATTCCATAAATACTGTCGAGACCACGCACAGCTACCTTCCTGTAGAACCAGTGGCCAGTTATCAGGCTTCTGGAGGTCTCTTCTACATTGCTGCTGCCTTTTCTCAGAGAAGGTGCGCTTCCGCCTGAGAATTGGTAATAGAGTCTCTTCTGGTTAGACACTTGGGTAGGCAAATCCGCACTAAAGGACGTGTTCCATTCTCTCTTCAGAATTGCAGTTGATACCCTAGCCAAGGTAGCAAACAGATTTACTACTCTTGGGTCCTCGAGATCGTGGAACCCAAATTTCAGAAGACCACTCACCGAGGACGAGATTAGTGCCTTCTCGGTTTTTTCATCCACACTTGCACAAATCTTCATCCTGCTGTTTCGGAAGGGTAAGATCATATGGACACCCAATGCTTCTGGGGTTTTCTCTGTAGCCTCCTTTTATCAAGCTATCTACCTGACATCAATTTCCTTTACTGCCTCTCCCTCCATTGCTGCCAAAGCATGGTTCCCCTCAATTCCAAGATCCAGTTCTTTAATTGGGTCACCCCTCACAAAAGGGCCCTCACTCTAGACCATCTTCAAAGGAGAGGAATTCCCTACCCAATAGATGTGCGTTGTGTTTGAAGGCTGAAGAGACCAATGCCCATCTATTCAATCACTGAGATTTTGTTTTTTCTCTTTGGTCCTATGTACTCAATCTTTTTAATTGGACCTGGGTTACCCCTCAGTCCATTCCCCAACTTTTCTCATCCTGTCTTGGACTAATTCCAGCTATTTCCTGTGGAGAACATCGATTGCAGCCATCGTATGGACCATATGGCTCGAAAGTAATAGTCGTATTTTCTGGGGGAAGAAGGCCTCTATTCCCACTATGCTTGACAAAGTTCACACCCTTGTGTCATTTTCGACTAAGAACCACAACACTCTCAGAAGCTTCTCCTTCACTGCCCAAGTTGGGCACCTAAAGCTTAACTTTAATGCGTGCTCCGTTGGCAACCCTGACCCCTCCGGCATTGGAGGCATTTACAGAAACACCGAAGGCTCCACCATCCTTTCATACTCTTCACCGATTGGCTCATCAGATTCTACAAATACGGAGGCTCTGGCTTTGCTTGAAGGCCTTCGAAGATTCAACACAAGCTGGAACACACACCTGGTAGCTGAAGGAGACTCAAAAATTGTAATCACCTGGGCTTCTGGTCTTGCTCCCTGCCCATGAAGACTTGAGCCTATTTTCAACAAAATAGCTCTCATCTGCAGCTCCTTAAGCATCACTTGGAGACACATCTTTAGGGAAGGAAATGCTGCTACCGACACCCTATCTAGGGATGGCGCAAGCCTTAACAATCCTCGGGCCACTTAGCAGACATCCAAGATTTTTCCTCTCTTTTAAATTTGTGTCAAAGTAGAGTTTTTTTGCTTTTATTTATTAAACCCATGGGGGTTTTTGTATAGGGCACCTGCCAAGCAGGTATGCCCAATCATGGACATGTGTTACACACACACGAGCTACTCTGTAATCCCTTTACTTATTAACACAACAGTTAGCATTCTAAAAAAAAACTTAACGTTAATCTATTTTCAAGGTTAGTTTCTGTTGCATTGATCACTAGTATATGCTCCAGATAAAGGCCTTACTAAACTTAATGTTAATCTATTTTCAAGGTTAGTTTCTGTTGCATTGATCACTAGTATATGCTCCAGATAAAGGCCTTACTCATACCATTTTCGACAAGGGCCTTCTAAATATCATTGAATACCCATAGCACTGAAACACTCACCAAGCATCCCAGAGAGCAAGAATGATTTTCCACAAATAAATCCACCACCAACTAAGAAAGATCTCAAAACCAATATGAACAATTTCCCAATTTCGGGCAATATATGACACTATATTTTATTTTGAAAGAATAATAGTGCATTTGGAAATTGTGAAAAAAATTATTTGGGCAGATCTTTTGAAGACAGAAATTGAAATGTTGTCTTTACAAAATAGTTACTAAGAAAAGATTTGTCATTATTTGACCATTTGTCTTTTAGAGCCATAAATGTCTTAATCATATTTGTTGTGATGTTCATGAATGGTTCAGAATATTACAACAATTTCCATCTTTGGACTGTTGGAGATGGGATCACTTCAGTAATTTTTACAAGTATTCTTTTTTCACTAATTGGTACTATTATAGATACGTCATGGTACGGGATTATTTTGACTACAAGATCAAATCAAATAATAGAGCATGACCTTACAAGTAAAGTGCAACAAATTGGGATTCATTTATCAACTGATTTTTTTCTTCCATTTAAACTCATTTCTATAATTCTTTTAGTTTCCTTAGTAGAGGCAATTGCTATGGCTAGTGCAGAATTAAAAAAAAATTAATTGGAAGTGCCAATTCAGTCAAATATCAAATGAAATATGAATATGAATATGAATACCAGAGTAAATTAATAAGTTTAATCAAAATTCTGAATTTTGTTTTCAAACATTTAAAAGGGAATTTTAATATTAATTTCCTATGCACATCCGCTCACATATATCTCCATACCACATGTGCATTACACTTCAAAACAATCAAGAATGGATACTTGTAGAAATATACAAACTAGAAAAGTATTTTTATCTTGATCAATAATTTCATTATAGATTTCTCCAATTTTGGTTCATTGAAAACAAAACAAGATAAACTTGAGTGTAGATAAACTTGAGTACATCAATTAAAATAAATCAATTGTATACAAAGGAAAAAAAATTTATTTCAACAGAAAACTCAATTTTCCAGAAAAAGGGGCACGACTCCAACTGGAAAAGTTCTACAACAAAATAATTACCTTGCAAGTTCAGCACCAGAACTTGTATGAAAGCTATTTATCAACGTAGCTGTGGCTGTACCGCTAGGATATGTGAGCTTGTAGTCAATTACCATTACCTTTATAGACACACAATAAAGAAAGAAAACCTATTAGTGCAAATTATTCTTTTTTTTTTTAACATATTAGTGCAAATTATTCTTATTACTGATTTCTTTTACAAACTTCAACAGCTTTGAAATTGCTTTCCAAAAGAAGTAGCTGATCATCACCTCTTTTTAGAAAATGAACACTGTACCATCTAGTTTTACATGGATGTTTGAAGAGAAACTGGATTTTAATCACAGTATTGGAAAAGAGACTGCATATGTCCGGGCTTTTATTTTGCACTTATAGGACTTGATGGTTAGAAGAAAAAACCGTTGGGTGGAAATGAGGTTTAGAGCTTCTAAAAGTGAGTATATGCCACAAATGATAGAAATTTTTGGTCGATATATTTGGTTGGAAAGCTAAAACAGTAAGAAATAATACCTAATTCCTCTCAACATTGAGGTGGCTTTAAATAGTATGTATACTGCTGAGAAAGTGGCCATCAGGTCAGTACATTTTCTCTCCCTGAGAGAGAGAGAGAGAGAGAGAGAGAGAGAGAGAGAGAGAGAGAGAGAGAAGAGAGGTCACTAAAACAAAAAAACAAAAAAAAAATCTCACAAGAAAGCCTAACACTATCCTGCTGGATTCAAATCTTAATGTGCAGAGGGAGGGAGGGAGAGAGAGATCTCACAAAAAGCCCATCACTGTCCTGCTAGATTTAAATCTCATGGTGCAGGGGAACGTATACTAAAATCCAATGGACTATGGAAAAGCATAATCCATCTGGGTCATCACCATTCAATGACATGGACAGTGATGGTAAGAGAGTGTGACCTGCTGTTGGATTTGTGAAACTTGATATGGTGGTCCACCCTCTCCCTATCACCATCCATCATTTCAATCGACAGCAATGAACCGACTATGCTTTCCTCTTTCCTGTAAAAGAATATTTTGCTTATGGGATAGTTTACTTAGAGCACATACCTTCCTGAGTGCCACAAGACTGAACAAGCCAAGAAAACTAACAACAAACATGAACCCAATCATCCACCCCAATGATGGATTTTTCACATCTTCTTGCCTATTACCCAGATAATCAGCTCCAAGAAGTTCATATGTCCTCTGATCCAAGGCTAGCAAATATGACCCAAAGCCTCCTGTTGTAGAGATAACAAAGCATTAGTCAAAACCACAATAACTTTAAAGCCTACTAATCATAATCTCTGGAACATAATATAATTAATTTCCGATCTCTTAGCAAAAGATAGATTTAAATGACATATATTGCCCATAGATTTAAATGACATATATCGCCCAAATAAATATTCAAATGAACATATGGCCCAAATAAAATATATCTCATTTGCTGATTTCAGTTCCTAGCAAATACATCGAAAAGATTAGTAAACCAAAATAAGTAGCAGTTACTAGCTATATCTTAATATAGGAAAAGTATATAAAGAGACCATTTACACTATTTTTGTTCATCAAATTTCAAATCAGATGGTTGTAAGTGGACCTGTGACTAAACTCAAAGCCCAACAATAAATTTCTTGAACTTTGTGACACACCCCAAGCCATCCAATTGGACATCTAATGGCTGGGATTAATTGTGACCTCCTTGTACTAAAGATAAATGATCTCATAGTATACCATCCCCTTAATATATAACATTTTCCCAATCTCAGTTTTAAGAAAACGATCGATACAAACTTCCACGTTCCATAACCAATACAGCCATCTAGAGAGTGAATTTGATTAAAAAGTGACTTCATCTGGGCTTAATAGAATCTCCAAACTCAGATGCGTATTTTAGACCCAGTATAGTAAATAGTAAAGATTTCACTGGTAACCTCTTCTTTGTGCAGTCAAAATCCATAGCTTCAACAAAAGAATTCAGTTTAACCCCCAAGTCAAGCACTACACACAAATTGGGATTTAGGCTCTAGGATTGGTGGTTGCTGCTTTAAATTGGCAAGGCACAGCATCCAAGTTTCAAATCCCACCACCAACCAAACCCCCAAAATGGTTAATGTGTAAAAAGGGCAAATAAAAGCTTCCAAGGTTCAAAGGCCAACACCAACTTAACCCTCAAAGTAAAAGAATGATCATAATCATGGTTGTAGGGGTGAAAATTTGTATTTGGTAGACAAAGATCCAAAGGTGGAGTCGGCACATGTTTTTAAGAAAACCTTAGGAAATATCAAGGCAAGCGCTTTCTAAAACAACATCCTCAAAACATGAGGGTAAGTAATATTCCTCAACAAAGGGTCATCCTAATTGATTCTGGCAGTATAGGCAAATCCATATATCCATGGGTAGCTCAACACAGCAATTATTGTATAATATATCCATATAATAAGCGTGAGGTCACGGTGGTTGGTAGGCTAAAGTGAACATGCAAGGTAAAAATGTTCAAGGTCACAATAACCATATATATATGCATCCCTCCCTTACGAATAGCTACATGATCCATGATGGACCCAATCTAAGGGATATCAAGAGACACAATTCACCTCGTTGGGACATAGTTATTGGGCTCAGGTTTCGTGAAAATTTTCTTAATAGTAGTAGTTGTTGGAAACCGAAATGAACATGACTACAACTTGTCATCCACAAAAACAAAGGGCAAACACAACTTCCTAACAAATTCTCAAAGAAGTACTTGCATTTTTTCCCATCCAATCAATCTCAGAAGTTAACATGATGGATCTCTTTAGCAAACTAGTAGTATAACACGCATTACATGTTAATGGAGATGGTACCCATATGAAGGGTCTCTATGAGCAGCCATATCCTTTGATTGAGCCATACATCCCTAGACCAGTAGGGTCCAAAAGTTTACAAGATTTCAAATTGAAACCATCAAAGGCTTATCATCACATAAAACAACAAGTTGGGAACCACTAATTGGAAGATAGTTTTTGGAGGGACTTGTTCTTAAAACTACAACATTATCTCCAATTCAATATGAAACTTGTAGACCTGTGAAGTCTTATACGCTGGACCTAAAGAATTCACCATGCATGTCACTCTGTCCTCTATTTACCATGCCTCAAGAAAATGGTGAAAACAAAAGATAATGCTTAGACACACTCTCCACAAATGAAAGAGAATAAGAACTCATAACTAGAACTTGCAAATTAGATAAATGCTCACCAGGCAATACCAAGGTCCAGTATGCAATGGTAAAATTCATCACTAAATTACACAATTTGAAAAATTTTACTAATTCTGATATAGAAGTCATGGTTTGTGGAAGTATCATGTATTTGTTCTAAAGTGTGAGCTAAGGTTGTAATTAAAATGCCCAGGAATGGTGTTGTTATGAGAGAGATATAAGGACAAGTTTTTCCAATCTGGCAAGATTAAAACTAATATTTTTAGGAATAGGGTTTTAATCAGTGTGGACACGTATGGTTTTAAGTTGTGGGGAGGGGTCACAGTTGCGGTGGGAATTTAAGAATAGTGTTCCAAATGGGTAGGACATTACAGAACATGGACTATGAATATGGGAGCATAATATTGAGGCAGCAAATTATTGAGATGTACCTATAAATAAGACAATCCCCTCAAATTGGTTCGGTGTTCTATATGCTCCTTAGGCCTTTACTGTACAAGATTTTGTTATTTGCTTCCTACCACTCATGTTATTGGACTCTCTCTCTCTCTCTCTCTCTCTCTCTCTCTCTCTCTCTCTCTCTCTCTCTCTCTACTACTCTACGTACTACGTACTACTACTACTAACTAACTAACTAACTAACGTAACGTAACGTAACGTAACGTACGTACGTACGTACGTTA